AGCCAACATCTTTTTGAAGCAAGTAATTTCCTCCGGCAATAAAGAACCATCAGAACCAATCTTCAATTCTTCAAAAGTCTCTTCAGTAAATTGATGTCCAATACTCATTGGATCTCTTAAACTTGCTTCTTTTGATGCTTCTCCCATTTGTTCTTTAGAATCCTCTGGTAATGGTCCGGCAACAGGCTTTACCTTCTTATCTGCCGTTTTATATCTCGTCTCTACTGTGACTTCTGGTGCTTGAAAAGATTCAAGCATGGTATAAACCTCTCTCGAATGAATCTCAACAATCTTATCATTATCCCCTAACCCAATAGATGTAATCAATTCCAATGAATCTTCCAGCCCATTTTCTTCATAAACACCCAAAATCCTCTCATCATCTTGCAATGTACCTATCTTGCGTAATTGTCCTTCAACATCATATAATCTTTTTTTTTCTTTTCTTTTAAAATCATCAACTTTCTTATACATAATATTTCCATTCTCCAATATACCAATAAAACTCGCATCAAAGGCACCTTCATCTCGCGAGAGTACCTCCTCTTTTGTACCTCCATAATCTCGCTTTACAATGGTACCTCCCCAAAATCCTTAAATCCTTCAACAATCTTTGGCAATGGTTTCTCCCTCAACCTATCTCGATTCCGTTCATGATTAGGAGGTACTGATAGAAATTGTACAGCTTTCTTCCTATCTTTGCTACATACTCTTGCATAAGCAGAACCATCGTCAAGTACTTTTGTTTCCATCCTTGTTGCCATAATATAAGGTTGTCCTAAAATCAACAAATAAGATATTGTATCTTGAACAAAGAAATGTTGCTCTGTCGCAACATCCTCAATCCAAATTTAGACATCTGGACAAGCACCATATAATTCACCCTATGTGTTATTAGATGCTAATAGTGTCCATCCATGTTTCATATCAATTGGCCATTTTTGCTTCTTATAAAGATCTTTAGACATGAGATTTATTTCAGAACCATGGTCCACCAAGGCAACTATTCGTTCTTCTATATCTCCTACCTTCACCAATACCTCAGTAGTTGCCCTTGCCCAATGCTTTCGAGTATAATGGCTCAAAGTTTCCATTTCCTTGTCACTAGAATCTTCGAAACGTACTCGCTGATTATACCCATTCTTTTCATTTGTTGGTTGCTTGTAACCAATATCAACCTCTTCTTCATCTCTACATATTCTTGCATCAATAGCATGACTCATTCCAGTTTCTCTCATTAATTGCCTCTTTTGCTTAATGTTGTCAATGATAACATCATGAAACTCCTTCTTTGCAATTTCCAAGACTTCTTTCAATGTAAATTCCACCTTAGCGTTTAATATACGTTCTTCCAACACCCCTTTCAAATTTGTTGCCGCTTCAATATCAGAAAGTAGCTTATAAGCAATTGATTTGCCCTTATCTTTTGTCTCCGTTGTTTTTTCTCCCAATGATGCTGAGGTATCCTTTACAGGCAATTCTTGTGAAGCTGCCTCCCGAGCCTTGTCTCCTCGAGTTTGCCTCTTAGAAGAATTTCCTTCTCTAGTATCATCGAAATTTCCTCGTCTCTTTTCTTCCATCAAAGCTTCATGTTGGCTCTTAGCAATATATGCATGAACTGAAAGAGACTCAATAGGATCCTCCCAACCTGTTCTTCCCCGTATTGTAGCTGCAGTTCTCAATAACGCTTCTCGAGGTAATTTCCCTTCTTGCATTGTAGAAATGGCAGAAGCCCAAAACTCACTAGTTTCCGTACTTCCACCAATTTCATCATCTACTCTAGCACCATAACTTGCACTTTCTCGTACTACTGTTTCATGCTCTTTTAAGTAATCTTGAACCAATGCTCTCATTCCTCCCTTGCCAAAATTGGTTTGAAGAAGATCCTCCCTATCTTTCAATGCTATCTTCCCATCTTTCCAGCAAATAATTCCCTGCCGTATCATATTATTAAATTCATTGCAATCTTTTCTAGTGTGTGAAGCATCATCACACCAAATGCATCTTTGTACATATCCTTGTTTTGAAACATTCTTCGAATTGTTTATAGAAGTATTCTCTTCAAGTCTTGCTAATTTGATTTGAAGATCTCGCATTCCTCGTATAATTTCTTCCATATCCATATCTGCTTTCTTTGACAAGGATGTCGAAGGTTGAACTGTAGGCATTGTCGGTGGTGTTGTACGTACTAGAGCTTTGGGTGCTTGTACTGTTTTTGGAATATTGCTCCTATCCTTCCTCCTTTCTTTTTTTGTAAGCAATCCCACCGCATCTTCAACGTTCTTCCACTTCGTTATCAATCCTTCATCTTCTTTTTTGTCTTCAAGAAGGGGTTCTAATTTCTCTTGCAATTCTCCATCAGCAGCTTGAAGAAATAGATCAACTTTGTTCGGCTCCAATGTCAATTTTTCTACCTTCGATAATTGAGAGTATTGCCTCTCAAATTCCCTTAGTAGCTCTATTGCTTGCAAATTCTTATTGGGCCGTTCAATCCATCCCAGAAACAGCTTCTTAGTAATGCGATCAACATCTTCTAAGAAATATTCGTCTTTCAATGCATGTGAAAAATCCTCCCATGAATTCCCACAACGATCCGTAATCGATGTAATGTGATCCCTTATCTCCGGTATCGTGGCAAGTCCAAATAGTGCAACCATTTTCTTCTCAGAAACCCGATTTAATTCCAATTCACGAACATAACATCTTAAATACCTTGAAATATTCCTCCCATCAAATTGATCAATTTTATTGACCACTGCTTGCAATGCTTTGGTTGCCAAAGCTTCCTTTCGATCATTGCTTTGTTGTTGCTGCATTGACAATGAAAAGGCTTGAAACAAACTAGCAATAGACGGATCCATGTGCATATCTTGTCCTTTAGAAGACTCCCCACCAGAAACTTCTTCCAAAAATCCTTCAAAATTTTTATTTTCGTTTTCCATAAAAATAAAGATAAAATCAACCGAAATCCAATACCTTCTACCTCAAGCTTTCACGTCGGGTTCACCACTTTTGTCGTGTTACGTGCTTTCCTGCTCGAGAACGCGCCGGGGGTCTGGCTGTAGAAGGTAGTATGGAGATTCGCTAATAGTCAAGCAGTCTATCAGTTTTTGACTGCTAGAATATAAACGACTACAACAATGTACCGTAAATCTATACGGATGCTCTTCGACTGCTTGTCAAAGTCCTTTTTTTTTTTTCCCAGTCGATAGGTCTCTAGACGTTACAGAGAACCCCGAACAACCCAAACTGTTAATCTTCAATACCCCTTTGTACTTACGATCTTGTATCCACTGACTGTCCTGTTAGATTAACCCAATGAATTTCATTCACTCCGCATACTCAATCCTATAGACACCCCTTTAATCCTTCAATCACAGACGTAACTCGATTTTACAAAACAGTCAAGAGTATTCAAACCCACTTAATTTAAAAATCCCGATTCACCATTACAACACTGACTTCAGCAGCGATTGCCTCAATCGTCCCAAAACTCTACGAAGAAGAAAAATCCAAATTCTATGTCTTTCCTTCCCCGACCCGAAGCATGAAGCTCATCTCTCTAATTCCCTTGATCTTCCAAAAACCTCCAATGAAAACTGAATTGGTAACCTTGCAAAAGCTTGAAAACTCGCTCCCCCCCCGATTCCCCCGAAAAAAAAACCCCCCCCCCCCCCCAAAACTATATCCCCCCTAACCTTATCCTCTGAATTTCTTCAATCTTCCGTCTTAGATCCGGAATTGGCTCCCACCTCAAGCTTGGATCCGAAATTGGCTCTCGCCGTCAAGCTTTCTCCTCCGTTTTTACCTTTAAGAAATCCATTTACCGAAAATAACGTTCCCTGAAACGGCACAGAGAACAGGACAGCCTGAAACAGAATCGAACCCCGTAATCGGGACCACATTGAGTCGCCCGACCAATTCAGGTCCTATATTGGGAAAGATGCCCGTAGTAACTTGAATGTTCGCATAATTGGGTCAAATTGGTCCTCGCGTCAGATTGGCTAAGACCCATAATAAGACCTGGATTTCCCATAATTAGACTGCATTGGGTTGACCGGCCAATTCAGGTCTCATATTGGATAAGAGGACCCGGATTGGATTATCGAAATTGGATCCAATTGGCTCCTCGAACCCGTCGTGTGAATTGGTCCCTCTCTTCCTGCTGACTCCCGTTATTGGAATCGAACGGAGCATTTCATTATGCCCCGGCTGACTGTAACAGAGTGACTGAACCTGACCACTCAATATTTGTACAGGAGTTGGTCGATGCTCCCAATATTCGAGGTAACTAAATATTAATAAAATTCCCCTTTCTTTTTATTTTCACTGTATACTCGTGTTACAACACGACAGCGTCTTGCATTTGCTAGCTTGAAATCACTTCCAAATTAGTTTACTTGAGTCGCAATGAACTACAACGCTTAAACACATGCACTTTCTAATCAAGATTAATAGTGACAAAATCAACACTAATACTAAGTGCACATGGACTCTCTTGATCTTAACCAACTTTCTAGTGCAAAATGTCTTGAAAGTTGGATCCACCATCCACGTTGAAAATGATATTTGTTGAGAAAGTATGCAAAGTTGTGACTCAACTACATTTAGTTTCCACATTACACTTTGGATCTTCGAAACAGACCAAACTCGACACTCGATAGTTAAGCTAGAATTCAAGGATGAAGCAATCAAAAAGTCAATGTTACGATGAGTTACCAGAGTAAGCTTGGCCGAAATATAAGGCACAATTTCATGTGTACCAAGCATGTACCAAGCAGGTTAGCCACCGCTTAACACAAGTAATTTCAAAGATGTCATCTATCCATTGTCAGAGGAGATAGAAGCATCGATTCATTAAAAATAATGACAGAGCACGCGGGATGTTATCATTCCGGGAACATCCATGACTACAGTAGTAGCAACTTGGAGATATAGAGAACAGGCGCATCAATAGTAGTCAAAGCGTTGAAAAATCGCGGCTAGTACGATAACCAAAGTGAAAAAATTAGAGCTTCTCGTGTGACTAACAGTGCGAGAAAGTCATCAAGAGAATAAGATCTTAGTGAAATTCTTACTAGGTACAATTAGGTATCGAATAATTAGAAATAGATTCTAATTATTGCAGTGGCCAACATGCTTGCCACCCCGTAAAAACTTTTTGGCGCTGAATCACCAGGACGCTCAAGTTTGTTAGCGACTGTAAAACAAACCTACAACTAGCAAAAGAAATACAAACATCTTCCATTAAGCAACAGCTAGCTGTTTGTACTTGTCTAAGATTGATGAGACCAGTCCAGCTTTGCTTGACGCCTTTTCTTTATACTTTTTCACTAAAACAGAAGCAGCTAAAGAAACCAGTTCCTGGCTCTCCTCCTCAGTGCGCCCTCGCCCCCTTGCCTGATTAATAGCAGCTCCGCACTGCCAACAGTAAAGATATTACATGAAAAATACTGGTACCGACAGAAAACCATGAATAGAATTCATGCCAAGCTGTCTGTACACAATGCCAGTATGATGCAACTTAATGGATCCCAAATTAAGTACATACCAGACACACTCCATACAAGGCACGCATGTTCTTGCCCCCGCTCAGCTCGATAGTTGATGCATAATACTTTCGAGCAGTCCGCAAATTGTCAATGCCTCCCATTGTATATAGCAACTGCCATAAGAGTTGCACCGCTTCATGATGTAAGTGAAAAGCGGCTAACATGTCCGTTAAACTGTTTACTACCATTGTCACCAAACTCAACCTTTCTCAAATTTAATGAATCGAGTGATGACCATGAATCATTAAATCACTCTTGAAAGTTAGAAAGGAATCAAAAAGTAATTGTGAAGTAGTAATGAAGTTTTAAACAGAACAATGTAGTAGCCAACAATCTTTATGCAGTTGGGCTTATATGTAAATCCATAACTTCTTGGAATTTCTTCGAAAAAGAAAGAAATGAATTTTTATGTTTCTAAAATGTCTAAAATCTTTTACCATAATTTTTTTTTCAAAAAATAAATAAAATGAAGAAAAAAAACAGAAGACAACGCTTTTAAATCATCACAATGGACAGGTCGTTTTTTTTGAAGTTGATGTCATTGGAAAAATAAATAAATAAATAAAAATGCGCTCATTACAAAGAATGTCAGATTTTGTGAGAAAGAGTCTGCGGCTCACATGAGCGAAAAACATTGCCCTACTGTACATTAACTTGGGAGTCTCTCAATTTAAAAAGAATTATCAGTGAGAATCATGCACTTACCTCAGCGTAACCCAAGTGGTACAGTGCATTTGTAGGTTGTGAAAGAATAAGCTCTTCGAAGCAGAAGCCAGCCTGCTTGTACCTGCTTACATTCACAACAGGGTCCATCCAGTTATATTACTGCCTCTACACACATTACTCCACAAAAAAACTCGCTCCCAGTAGGATCAATATTTGTACCTTACTAAGTCATTCAATCCACTGAATTATGTGATGCTTGGTGTCGAAAAGTGGCACTTTTATTAGTTATGAATTGAAAAGTGATGACTAACAATGACACAACCACACAATGCGGTAGAGATGTGAAAAAATCAAATACATGTAATTTACAGTTCGGTAGACAGAAGTTTACATCTGCAGGGAGGTATATATATCAGCAAGTTCTCTCCAAGCATCATAATCAGCCATGAACCTGCACAAGCAACAAAGACAATATCTCTATTTAAATAATGCAGAAGAAAGATTACAGGTCCTTAAAAAGAAGGAGATTAGACCAGAACGATTATGGCAATATTAATCGACCAATGAACATCACAGAAGAATTAGGCTATCTAACCAACTTTAAAAAAAAATCCTTTAAAAGAGACTCGGTATAAGTTGGAAGCAGCCCAAAACTGATAATCTACCTATTCACATGTTAGTAAACACATCAACAACGTTACGAAACCAAGCACTTACGTTTCTAGATATTTGTTTAAGCCTTCTACAGCAACAGTCATGTTCCCCTGGGCCTTAGCCATGGCAATCCTTCTTTTATGAGCAACCTACAAGATTCACACCACAATTCATGCTAACTACAATCATGGTAAAAGACATATCGTTTACCTCTTTGTATAAAATCCGTATAAATTTTTATCATTATTTTTCTCTAAAAATTCTCAAGATGAAATCAAGAATTTAAGACAATGTAAACAAGACAATGGATGCCAACTCACAGTGTCAGAAGGATTCTCAGACAGAAGGTTGGAATAAACTTTCTCAGCTTTTTGCCATGATCCTTTTGCCTCATACCACATCCCTTCCAGCCGACCTTCATAATTCAACATCAAAGAAACTTTAGCATTGTCTACATCTTAACAATCCTTGAAAAAAGAAAGAAAACGGAAAGGAAAGAAAATTTTACATAATTAGAATCAAAGATTTTGTTTTTTTAAAAAAAAAAAAAAACTGAGGCCGCTACCGACGTGAAATAATATGGCCAACTGCAGACATTATCTATGTACCAATTTATGGAGAATTTAAATAAATAAATAAAAACTAACTACGATCTTGAAAGTCCATCATAAGTCCATCATGCATAAAGTAATACAAAATTACATCGTAAAAGTTGAAACTGGCACTTCGAAGACAGAAATGCAAGGATAGTAATCATACCAACTCGCATACTGTCAGGGAATTTCGAATCCAAAGCATTAATACATTTCTGTAGCCATTGTAAACATAAGATGTTAGTACACGTCGTCTGCCACACGAGAAGATCTCATGGAATCTTAAGAATGCAGATGATCGTACCTTGGCAGAATCAAGTGCATGACAATCCATGCAGGCTATTGCCACTTGCTCGTATACAGTCCACACTGCACAAAACCCGGCGTGATTTTTAACGTAAAATACATGCCCTGATCAATGCTACACCATAATGTAGTTCCATACGCACTCAACACAGAGAAGGGCTTATCAACACTATGACTTTCAAAAAGCAAAATCGGCTAGAGTAGCAAGGAAAATTGTTACAGAACTAACAGATTTACATTCAGTAAATACTACAATGGCATCGAATCTCCCTAAAAAATCCCATCTTCACGAACTAAGTTGCCCTACACCCATCATGCTTTAGTCAGCTATTTTCAGCTGGTTTTTTCTCGTACCGGTTCTCCAAAATGAAAAATTACGCATGAGGTACATCCGGCACATAACACAAATTCAATGACCGTGTTCTCGCATCATGAGAGCGCATAACCAGAATAGCCTCTAACCCGATCTTAGTGCAACAGCCAACAAAAAGAAAACAAGAAAAATCTACAGGATTATGGAGAAAACGTACGGTCGGATCCGAGCTTCGACCTCGCGGAAGCCTGGTTGAGCAGCTGAAGCCCATGTTTGGCGACGATATTAGACCTCCTGACCTTCAACTTACGCACTAAGCTCAAGTACTCCACAACCCCTCCTCCGCCCTCTTCCACCTGCTTCTCCAACCGCTCCAGCTCCCGCTCCTCGCTCGCCCCCACCATCGCCAGGATCGAAATGAAAACCCCTTCCTTCTCTCCCCGATCAATCCAAAACCTGGCTCCCCAAATAATTCCGAAGAGTAGATTCGATGGCGCGATCACGATCGATGAGTGCACCAAGTTCAATGCCCTCCTCCTCCTGCGAAGACAAAGATGAGAGAAACGAAACCCTAAGATTAAGACATCCCCCCCCCCCCCCACGCCTGATGCCCTGGCCTGGTCCCCCAATCAAGCCTCCACTAGGTTCGGGGTGTGGCCACGTCAGTACCCACTCCGAGCCTTGCACCCCACAATGCCCTCTCATGCCCATGTGCCCACTCCAATTCTTGTAGCCTTGAGACTAATGCTTTGAAGCAGTTGTTCTTGCATATTTTGCATCTTTGTCCTCTCTTGTTTCAATTCATGGTCGGTTTATTACTTTCCCTGATTTGGGTTTATTAATGTGTAGCAACATTAAGATTGAAAAGACTTGTGTTTTTTATAGGAAATGTTGAAATATATTTATGTTTGTGGATATGTTTTAATGCAATGATTTTGAAACTAAATATGATTGGTTGGAATTATTTTATAATTTAATAAATAATCCTCTTGATTTTTTATTTTTGAAATTTTATAAAAATACTAAATATTATTTAGGAATAAACTTAAAAGTTTTCTTTTCTATCGATACACATTTATAACTTACAAATATATATATATATATATATATATATATATATATATACATTTATTTTTAATTGTGATATAAATCTTAGTTATTATGATGAATTAACCAATATATTTTTTTTGCTTTTTCATCTATACTATGATAAGCTTCTTTTTATTTAGGTTGTTTTATGTATAAAAAGATTACATATAAGTAATAAATAAATGAATTAATAATTTATTATAAAAAAATCTATGGAACGTACTTTCATTAAGAATATTCTATAATATCACAAAAACTAATATAAATAATAAGTTATGCACTTAAAAAATTACATATATTAAGAAAAATAATTAAGATATAAATATCTATGTGTGCTACAAAATAAATTTAATATATAAAATATTTTACTAGATTAAAGATACTTATAATCATTTTTAAAATTATGTTATATTTTAAATTTTAAATTTTAAAGATTAAGAACTTTCACATATGAAATATATCTATTTCTTAAAATCCATTTGTATTTTGATGCTAAAAGATTTTAAAAGAAACTATTGTCAAGGATATAAATCTTGAAGAAAGAAATCCTTAATATATTCTTATGTCACTCAAGAGAACTAGAAAATCACTCACAAATGATATAGTATTAAAGTAGTATGACTATTGCCAAAGACAAAAAGTTTAGAAAGTCTTGAAATAAGACTAAGGATTAGAAATGCATTGATAAGAGTAAAAAAGGCTTCATTCTTACTTCTATATATACTCTTTAACTAAGAGCTATATAGCGATATGCTATAGGATCAATATGTGTTGACTTTGCTACACATATGTCTTATCTTGCAAGGCAAGTTGTCTACATATGGGCCATATAATTAGCTTATTCTACAAGCAATTAGTACGTGTTATATGTGGCTAACTTATTCACCAAGTTTCTAGCTTATCAATTAACTACAAATAAATGCATAATCAAAGCAATATCTATGAAGTTTTTAAGAAGCTTTTTTAAAAGATATTATGAAATTGATTCTCTTTTTACCTACTTCTACCTAATCATATAAGTAATTATTAGAGTAAATACATATGTTAGTGACATTATTCCATCTTCTTGAGATAAATTCTATAAGAAGCGATTATCATCTTTTATGGATCTTATTTTTTTTATCTTGATTTTGATGGATATTGTTGATGAAAAGTCTCAACCATCTTTGTTGGATTTGAAAGTTTTTTTCGTAGCTCTCATGTATATATACAAATATCATATCCACACTAACGAATAAGTTATTTTAATCTATTTTGATGTTGCTTTGAATCTAAGACTTCTTCCATCTCATATTTTTGATCATTATCTACCTCTACAAGTGTCACAAATACACATATATATTCTAGTAAATACTTATATGATAAGGTAGAAGTAGGTAAAAATAAATAAAAATAGATAAAAATAAATTAATTTTATAATACCTTTTAGAAAAGTTTTTTAGAAGCTTTATAGATGTTATTTTGACTTTATATATATATATATATATATATATATATATATATATATATTTATAGTTGATTAATAGCTTAGAAACTTGGTTAATAGGTTAATTACGTATTGGTAGCTTGTGGAACAAGCTAACTATGTGGCATACATATAAAAAACTTATCTAACAAATTAAAATACTTGTCTTGCAAAGTCAATAAGTTTTAGAAGTCATATAGGACATTGTCATAAAGCTCCTAGTTATGAGTATATGTAGAGGCAAGAGTGAAGCCTTATTCATTCTTGTCAATACCTATCTAGTCTTTAGTCTTTTTTCAAGACTTTCCAATCTTCTTGTTTTTGGTAATAGCCATTTTAGTTTAACATTATATCATCTTTTAGTGACTTTTTACTTCTTTTTAGTGACACAAGAAAGTATTGAAGATTTCTTCTTTCAAGATTCATGTCTTTAATAGTTTGATAAGAGTGCTAAGTTAATATTTTTATCTTAATTTAGAAGTGAATGGATTATTCCTGTAATAGGATATAGATAAGATAATTGTATAGATAATTAGAACCATAGAGGTTTCTAGAAAATAAAGTTAGATAAGTGGACCAAGTAGGATCTATCATGGAACATTCTAGAAAGAATTTAAGACAATTGTTTAAGTAGGTTATACCATAAAACCTTCTAAAAAAGGCTTAGAATGGTTATCTAGGTTAGATCCATGACTTAGGAACATTCTAGAAAGTCCAAGGTGATAGAACAAGGTATAAATAGGAGTGGCCAAGGCCTTTTGGAGCATCTGGTCAAGTATGGCCTCGGATCCTTTCTCTTAGTAAAGTTTGATTCTACATCTTTCTGTTTAGATCTGTTCTATTTTGTTTCTATTTGCTTAGTTTTTTCTTTCTTGTCGTGTTCTATTTAATTTTGTTCAATTCTATTCTAATCTATTTTGTCATATTTTATGATGAGACGTTATGTTGCTGTCGATTAAAAAGGTCTTGAGTTCTTGAGATAGTCTGGTCTTGTTTCATTGGTATCAGAGTGAATGTTAGACTATTTACTTTTGGTATTTTATCAATAGTCATCATCTAATCTAAAATCAGTTATTTTGGTCATACTAGTATTATATGGAGGCTACCACGAGTTATTCTTAAAAAGTCAATTAGGAGATGAAAAGTAGAATCCAGTAGAGAAATTATAGGTTGGAAGATATGGCAGAGCAATTCCAAATGGAGGCTCAAATACAACATCTCTTAGGCTAGATAGCTACCTTGCAAGGACAAATAGAAGCCTCAAGGACAAGAGAGTTGACATTTGTTAGGTTGAAATTGATTAAGCTTAGTACATACTTTAGAACTTCAAGACAAAAAAGGTATATGTCTATGGCTCTTCAACATGCAATAATACTTCTAATTATTTGGAGCAAATACCACTGAAGGAATTATATATGCAGCCAGTTATTTGAAAGATGCAGTAGCCATTTAGTGGTGATATTGAATTCAAAGCTATGGAATTCAAGGTGGATTTTGTAAATGGGAGGAGTTTGAGACCGAGTTTAGAAATCAATTTCGATCCATCAATGCAATATCATATTACGTATTGTCTTGCTTGGAAATGCATTGGGTATTTAGCTACGGAGGTGAAATTATGTTATACAAACATCCAAAAAATCCTAATAGGTTTCATTCATATGAGAAGAATATAATCCAATTTTAATTCAAAAATAATAAAAAACACTCTTTTTAGTAGTCTCAATCATATATAAACCTCAATTATCTTGTTACTTTCATATTTAAGCAATTTAGATTTTTCTTATAAGTCCCAATTCTAATTAGTGAGCTTTAACAAGCTGTAACTTCTAATCTGACTATCTAATTGATGTAAAATTTTGCATGCAATTTTCAATGTAAGTCTTCTATATGCTCAAGACTTTTAGTCTAATCCAACTTACAAGCTATGAAAAAACCTCCAAAAATTGCATTGATGTCACTTGGCCGCCAACTTGAAAAGTAAAGCAAAAATCCAAGCAGTGATTTCTCCTTCTCCAACTGTTAACTTTGACTCAAAATTAGTGTACAGCTTAATCTTCAACTCCTTCAACACCATGCCAAATTTCACCTTGATCTGATTGGTAGATTTATAGATATCTTAGAAATCCTACCCAACTTCAAACTACCAACTTCCAGAATCCTCTTGTACTAAAAACCAAGTATTTCTAAACTACACCATTAGATTATTACAAAATTTTGTATACACTTAGCACATCCAATAATTTAAATAATAATAATATATATTTTTTTTAGAATTATAGTTGTCATACCAATTCCACAAATTAGTCAAAATTGCTAGCCCTAATTATATTATATAAAATCCAAATCACTAATACAAACCTTGACTTTGAACAATAATTGCCAAGCCCTTAAAAATTCTACCAAAACAACACTTATGCTCTTAGAAAGAGCTTTTAAGCTAGCTCTCAAATTCTAATCTCTGCTCTTTGAATGAAATCCTAAATTTATCCTAGGTGGTCATTTTAGTGACCAGGGGTTTGATTTTGACCCTGTCTCACAAACGATCAACCCTCGGATATCAATCTAATCTATCTTAAGGATTTTTTAGTCCAATCCTATCTTCAACTTAATCCTAGTATGAATTATACCAACTATTTACCTCTTCTATCCTGATTTTATCAATTTATGGCCTTTTTAAGATAATAAAAGAGTTTCTATATCCTAGAAGGTAAAAATACTAATTAACTTTTATCTACTTGCTATTAAGACAAGAAAATAGGCTAAGAGACTTTCATAAAAGTCTTATTAAAATATTTTGAATTTTTATTGAACTAATATATTAGAATATTAATTAAAAAATTATTTTTAGTCATATTTTTACTATATAATCATGTCACAACATGATAACGGAGAAGATGGCATGCAATCAATTGAAAAATCTTAAAAAAACTAGATTAGTACAAGATTATGTCTTCTGATTCAAGTTCTTATATCTCTAAATTAATAATATTTTGGAGGCAAAGATGATGGATTGATTCCTACA